AAACCATAGAAGAGATCCTGCCATACATTGAATTATGGGGAGTGGGGCCCTAATACAGTACCCTAAATAGTAGGATCCTTATGATAAGGGCCCCCAAAATAAGGTACCCTAGTTTCCGGAAAGTCCCATATATTCCTCAGTCTTCGGATGTTGGAAATTTCTGGGTAAGTAGCTAAACTCTAAACCCTAAACCCTAAGTGGGCTCCCCCAGCACGGAGTTGGCTGCAGCCGCCTGGAGCAAAAACCTCGTTCGGCAATCCAGGGACTTGTCCTGTGATTTAAATTTTAGGGCTTAGGGTTTAAAACCCTAAACCGTGTAAAGGCTTTTAGAGTTTAGAGCTCACTCGGCGTTTGGGCTCCTGTAGGGTTGGGAGCCGAACTTGAATTGAGATTTGGGCGGAAGCCAATGTACCCTGAGCCCGGCAGGAGCTTTATACAGAGGTTTAAAACGATGGAAACGCTTTCTCCGTACAGTCGCCCCAAACCCTAAACCCGAAACCCACATAATTTGACTATGACATACCCCAAATGCTTAACCCTATAAACCCACACAAGTTGTCTATGAAACACCCCATATCCTAAACCCTATAAACCCTACAGGCCCTAAAATAATACCCAAAACCCAATGCTAAGTCTCCACCTGGAACCCCTAACCACCCTCCTATCTACCCTAAATACACTCTATTGCCATACAAGCTCCATTAAAGGGCGCTTCGGGGGGTCCTGGTAAGCCTGTGCTAGGCTCGAGGTGTGGAAGCTAAAGGGGCGCGAATGTTTAGAATAGGGTTTTGGTGTATACTACGGTATGAAACGATAGAGGAACTCTAAGGGGATACTATTACGCAGTATTCTTCCGACCTCTTTACTATGGAGGGCCCCGAGTTGCTTGTCGGAGTCTGCACCACGGCGGTTCTCATTGCTTCACTAGCTAGCAATGGCAGTCATACTAGCGATAAGAGTAATCATGGTAAGAGTAGTGGTAATAGTGATAATCGTACAAACAATGAGAGTGTGGTAAACAATAGCAACAGGCACATAATGGTATTGAAAAGCATACTATACCACTGTTGATGATATCAATCCTGCATTACCTTCAGGACCCCTGCACTATATGGAAATTATGGTATACATTCCTTATTATGGGTAATGCAGGATTCACATCATCAGCCGTAGTAACCGTGATCAAAAAGGCCTACGAGCAACCCTAAATCCTCAATCTTAGCCCTGAACCCTAAACCCCTAAACCCTAAAGCCTACGCATCGTTTCCCAGTTGTCGACTTCCAGAAGTTGAGACACGGCTTCACTGACTTCCCCAAACAGCAATCCCGTGATCCGACGCCCAAATCGGGCTTGACCCTTGCGGCCCACATTCAAATCCGCAAGTATATTATAACCCTACCCATAGGCTCCATAGTAGTTCCTTTTTTGTGGCTCATGTCTGGGATCCTATAAGGTAACCCCAAAAAGGAACTACTTTGGAGCCTATGGGTAAAGCCTTGAACCTTATGGCCGACGTCCAGGACCTGTCATGGAACACTGTAATGACCTACACACCCAAAATCTCCAAACCCTTCTTCGAAAGGACCCCGGGGGAGGGCGGGGGGGGGGGCGTCCTTTGTCAGCTTTTCCATTTTCTTGAAGACCTTCTCGAGGGCATCATGATGCCTGGAGCTGCTGTAGTCGTGGTGAATGTCTGGTGAAGTAGGTTTTGATGGTAAAACCGTAAACCCTAAACCCTGGAATATCCAAGAACCTGCTACCACGATCCAAGGTCGCAGTAGGGCACACATGGCAAAGCCCCAAGGGTCCAGGTGCCCAAATAGTATATACTTTGGCCTTATGTAGTAGTGCCTATATAGGTATTTTGGGGGCCAAAGTCGATACTATTTGGGTACATGGACCCCTTGGGCAAGGACAAATCTGCAAGGACAAATCCACGATTGTTTGCGAATGCTCTGGTGGATACATCGGTGATACTTCGGGAGGAATGAGTAATGGGCGTACAATCCGGGTTTTTGCTGCCGGTTCCCGCAATCTGCACGAGAACTGTCCCAGCTTATCCCTGAAGCAAACAACCTCTTCCTGAAAACAACAAACATACGCTGAATCTACTCCCACCGTTCTCTTGGATTCAGGAGCTGGGAAGAGCCTCTCACCCTGTAACCCCACCCTGATAAGGCTCTTGTCGGCTATTTCCGGGTGGAGAAGGGCTTGTCGCAGCATAGGGCGAGCTTAAAACGCTTCATCACCTGCAGCTTGGCAGGAAAATGCGTCCAACATACACTAGAGCTGCATACCCCAGAGGGTCCATATCAATATCTACTACCACTCATTGATGAGGTCCCAAACGACCATCCTTATTATGGTATGAAAGAGTACATATGGACGCTCTTGGTACTGGTGGCATGGCCTAGTTGGAAACAAAGATTTTGCAGCGGAGTTGACGACGTCACCTGGGGTAATGATCTGGCATTCTTTCTGCGATAGCGGAAGACCGAATCTGCATCCTTCGTTCTGCATTCTTCCTGAGTCCGCAACTCGGCGCTCTCAAATGGTGACGGCAACCGAGCACTCGCAACGCGGCGCTCTCAAATGGTGATGGTAACCGAGCACTCGCCAGTGCCACAGATATGAACACCTAACTCGTTCAGGCTATGAACAGAACTGCGCGATGACTTTCAGCGAAGGTACGCAAGCCGTTTGCTCGCGCTCGCTGTCGAATTGAACACAGCTCTACCCATAGGCTCCATAGTAGTTCCTGGGGTTTATATTTAGGATCCTACAGGCAATCCCAAAAAGGCACTACTGTGGAGCCTATGGGTAGTATGGTAAAAACCCGGAGGCGTCAGAGTTGAGGATTTCGGCTCAGGGCCTAAAGGCTTGGTGGGGTGTAGGGCTTACTGTAACTTGACAAGCTAGTTGAAAACAAAACACACACACATATATATATATGTACATATACATATACATATACATATACATATACATATACATATACATATACATATATATATATGTATATATATATATATACGCACTCCAGCTCAAGGCAAAGAAAGCAATGCATGGTAGATCTCATAGGGATCTTCGCCTGCATCTTTGCTTCAGAAACTGTTGTAGATGCTTTCAGTTTCAGCAAGCATCTAATTATAAAATGTCTTATACAGACTGCGAACGGAGAATCTTCTGCTCAATCCACCGGTGCCGAGAGAATGTCAGGGATGCCCTCTTCGTGCTACTGCGGTGCCCTAAGCCCTAAACCCTAGACCTTAAGCCCTAAACCTTAGACCCTACAAAAACCCTAAACCCGCCTTCCCTTACCTTTCAGGGCTCACGGGTCCCTCAAGGCGGGAAGAGCTTTCTGAGCAGCGCGGCGCGCCTCTCCTTGCTTGGCGGCGGGCAGTGGATCTGTTACGCGATGTCATGCAGGGCCTTGTGAAGTAGAACAAGGCTTTGGTAGATATCAATTATGTTATATATATATATGTATAGAGTACATGTGTGTATGTATATATATATATATGTACATAAAATATACATGCTGTATATACTGAAAAATAAATACATAAATAAATATATAAACATAAATATACAAAATAAATATACACACAGACATATACATGTTATATACGAGACTGTAGTTGCAGAGGAAAACCAACCAACATCTTGTGCAAGAACGCACTGCGTAAGAACCATAGCCCCTACTCTTGCCCGGAATTTCAGAAATCATGTTGCCTGGAAGAGCAGAGCTTTAGGGCGCCCTACCTGTCGGGATCAGGTTCTTATGCTAAGGGTCCAAAGGACCCAATAATGAGGTACCCTGGCTGCAGAACGTAGCTATCTAAGCTGATGATTAGGTACTTGGACCCTTAAGGTTATGTTGGAGTGGATTCGCATTGCCCTGGCCTGGGCTAAGATCGCAAAAGCCACCAGGTACTAAACCACTGTCAAGAACCATGTTGCTACTGATACTCTCGGCCTCACCCTAAACCCTAAACCCTATAGACCAGGTTGCTACTGTCGGCTTCTGTCAAGCCACTCAGTCTGATTGCGGCATTCTCGAGCCTTGGGTCTGAGCGTGTGCAGTGCTTGGAGCACTTGCAGTTTTTGGATTTCTAGAATTTCCAGCTTGCCCATAGGCCCCTAAGTAGTTCCTTTTTGGGATTACCTTATAGGATTCTTAATATAAACCATAAAAAGGAACTACTTAGGGGCCTATGGGTGGTGCTTTGAAATGTTGATGCCTTCCCAGCCGTTGGAGCCTTTGACTGGTTTGCCAAAAGTCGACCTCCTTTGCATACAAGGCTTCTTTCTCAACAGCCCACTTTGCAGCGTCTCTGCGTCGTCATGACATGTCGCCAGGCGACCGTCGCTTCGTTCATGCCGTGTGTCAGGCCATCCGAAAGAGGCCGTGGAAAGGATTGCCATCTTCTAGGAGGCAACACTCGTGGATGCCACGGCCATTTTGCACATTGGGCTCCATGACCATGTGTATTGATCTTAGGCGACCCTAAACACTAAACCCTAAACTTTAGGTTACACTGCGCGCTTAGGACATTCAGATAAGATGCCACTTCCGAACCTCACAGCATCCTACCCTGGCTGGGCCGGGGTTCGTGTGCAGCGTTTTCACCGTATTTGGGTAGTTCTCTAAACAAGGGTCCCTTTTTTACAAAGTCTGCTTTGTAGTACGGCACCCTTCGAAAAAATGAACCTAAAAGGGACCCTAATTTGGAGAACTATCCAGATCGGTCAATATAGCGAACCATTGCCAGCCTTACATCTCGCAACTGCCGCCTCTGGAAGTCAACCTTGTCACCCTAAACCCTGAACCGTAAACCCTAACCCTAAAACCCTAAAACCCTAAACCCTAAAACCCTAAACCCTAAAACCCTAAACCCTAAAACCCTAAAACCCTAAACCGCGGCCAAGCGTCCGCAGCCAGGTCTCCCAGGCCTCCTTCACACAAGTCATGGGGAGCGGGGGGTATCCCTGGCGCTGCCAACGGAGTTTCGCCCGTCGGTGGCGGCGCCGGTGTCGAGGAGCTTGGCTGATTGATCTCTTGAATCTCCTAGGTCCCAAGTATCCGCTTCAGAAAACGTAGAAAACGGTAACTCTTGCCCCCGGAAGCCTACTTCGCAAAAGCAAGCTTCAAGAACAAACCCAAAGAAAAAGGCAGGGCTGTAAAAGAAAGGGTTCTTGGGAAACCTCAGTCTCGACCGCCTGGTTTCGCCGATCCTCCTCGCTGACCATAGGATTCTCCTCTGTCGTGTCCCCGTCACTCAGAAACAAAACGATCTCAGGGGTGTCCTCAAAGTGCACCCTGCATTCTCGCAAATCTGAGATAGCTTGCGACTGCTTTCTGCTGGATGGAGATGCGATGGTCACGGACTCTCGGACGTCCAGCAGAAGGGCGGCGATGGTCTTGGATGTCGCGCCGCACTGCTGTGGAGAGGCCGAGGAAGTAGAACCGATCATCCGCCGACGAGGTGCCTTGGAAGACGGATGTGGACCCCGAAATACTAGACTCCTTGAGCCCCTAAGCCCCAAACCCGGTAAAACCCCTAAAATTCTACGCCCGAAGACCTGTGCAGAGGAGGCGCCTTGGAAGAGAGAGGTGGCGTTGTAGGCTTCTGTGGCAGACAGACAGCCATCCCGAGGTCTGGAAAACCGGGCTTGGGGTTCAGGGGTTTAGGGGTTTAGGGGTTTAGGGTTTAGGGTTGATAGGGTTGATAGGGTTCAGGTTTTAGGGTTTGATCATGTTCAATCCTTCCCCTACATACTTGGGTAGGGCTGGGCTACGGGTACTCCTACCCTAACTCACGCACGTACAGGAGAAGCCCAAAGTTGGAAACCCAATAGCCTCAAACCCTTAAGAGTAATGTATAAGGAATCCCAGCTTTCCCGCTTTTTGGGGGTTTACTATAAATCCCAAACCCTGACACCCCCCAAACCCGCAAGTGGCAAGCCCCCAAAAGCTCAGCCCTATGGGGGTTTCCGAAAATAGGGGACCCTAATATGGTACCCTAAATAGTAGGATCCTAATGATAATGGACCCCGAAATAAGGTACCCCTTCCCAGGCATGCCGGCCCTCGCCTCACAGAGCCGACTGCTGCAACCCAGCAGGCTCGAAGGGTTTAGGGTTTAGGGTTCAGGGTTTAGGGTTTAGGAAAGCTCGGAGCCACCTCTGTCCGTGTTGGAAAGTGTCTGTTTTCGGTTGGGTCTTGAAGGGGGGTCGGGTTTAGGGTTTTGGTTACTACAAGGGCCACCGTAGGGTTTGGTTCAGCAACTAGCCGATTTGGTAAGCATTTTAAACCTTTCCGGGTTTTATGCGACCCTACCATAATTAACAGGTTAAGTTTGTTAGGGCCCGAAGACTCAGCCCTCGAGCTGGTTGTGGGTTTGTTTGGGGTTTCGTGCTCTAAGGCTCAATGGCGAGTTGCCGAAAGTTAAACTGTTTGCCGCCTTCCATCAGGGCCAACGCGACCCTAAACACTAAACCCTATTAGGGCTTTACTCCTCAATACTTTTGGATCCTTACTCTACGGTGCTAGTCCAATGAGTTGAATTACAACGACAGTCCCTTGGCTTGGAACGTCCAGCTCCTGCGTCCGAACATGCGCCTTAAAGGGGTTCCTATAGAGGTACTTTAAGGCCCAAGCATAGGCGGCATTTTTAACATGGAGCCAATTAGGGAATCCTATAAACCCGGCCCGATTGAATGCGAAACTGTGCAGGCTTCGTTTCAGACCTTACCCGTCTTTGCGCTGCAGCGGCACGATCTCGGGAGCATTGGCCCGTTTTTTGCTTGTGGTGTGGGTTCTGGGTTCAGGGTTTAGGGTTTAGGTTGTATGGGGTTTAGGTTTTTTTTTTATGTATATACAGTATACACAAATACTCATGTTCGCGTACTTGCTTTAAACGAATTATGCAAGCTTTGCAAACACGTCCTACAACAGGTGTGTAGCAGGGCCGCACTCCAAGATTTGCACGGCCCAGCTTGTATTCCGCAATTAGGCAATATTTCCTGGATCATACGGCGCCCTACATAAGGGTCCATGTGCCCAAATATTATATACTCTGGTCCCAAAGTACGTACCTATACCGGGACTACTTGAAGAATACATTGAATACACTATGTTTGGGTACATGGACCCTCAGGGTTGTTGCCTGTGGAGACTTCACGGATATCCCAATTGGAGGGTGTAGGGACCCTTGGCATCAACGACGCGAGGATTGCCGCGTGTCAGGGCAGTCTTCGAGGAAAACTTGGCTGACAGCGTGGAGTGGGCTGCACTGAGAATTCGAGGGCTTAAGTGCGAGATTTTGGCCAACTCCCGTCCATTACGTATAGCACTATTAAACACGACAAGGGCTCTGTTAACGGGCACTTGCGGGGGGTGGGGGGGGTCCTGTTCTAGATATATTGTGCGGTTTGCCTTAAACTAACAAACTCCAATTTCTCTGTAGGTTCTTGTTAAAAACCCGAATATGGAATTTCATGGACCCTACCAAGAAAGGTTTTCAGAAGTTCAGGGGCAGTAGTAAATGGGGGTTCGATGTAGGGTAACTATAGCTCTGACTGACCCATATTAGGGGACTTATAACCGCCCATGAACCTCCAAGTAAGGTGGGGATTCATGAGCTCAAGGTGCTGTAGGGCCCCAGGCTATGGGTTGGTTTAGGGCCCTCGGTTGAGCGCCTGGGGTATGGAGTCAAAATTCAAAATGCTTAGTCATAGGTTCCCCTTGCAGGTCTCTGTATGCGCAGTGTGTTTAACATCTTGCCCGCAATATAGGCGTCGGAGTGGTTAACCATGGTATGTATCTTCCTTTGTCCCTATACTATAGAAGTCCACTATGTAAAAACAAAAAACAACATAATACGATATGGTACTATACTACTGTAACTACTACAATATCACCCAAAACCCTATGTATTCTAGATCGTCAAGGCCCCAGTATGATTGTCTTGACACGAAGGGTTGCCGGCAACTGGTCGTCAACGCCCTATTTGGCCTAGAACCCTAGAAGTGTTTTGGGGTTTCGGTGTCATGAGTTATGGTTTCGGGTTCAGGGCTTAAGTTTGTTGCTAGGTTAGGCATTGTGTCTCGGAAAACTTGGGAGCAACTGAGGAACTAGAGTTTAGGCTTAAGTGGGATTCAGTGTGTATGCACTTCTACTCCGGTTTGATCTATCCTTAACAGCTTGGTTGCGGATTGAGGGTGCAGTGCCAGATTTGGCAAAGATTTCTTTCTTCAAAGTGGGTGGAATGATGAGCATTTGACAAGAGCTCTCAAACCCAAAATTGAACCCTGTCACAGATAAGGAGCCCGACGAGCAGCTTATACACTTAGAAGTAAGACTTCTAATCTGATCATGGATCGCAAGATCCCGGCTTAGAGCATCCCAGACCTACGACTCCTGCTGTTGAGGTCAGGTTTTGGTGTCACATCGTGAATTTGTTTACAGACTCGACACGAGGCTCACACGAGCCTGCAGTGTTATTCATCCTGTTATGCTGTCGTTATTTCTTCATTTCTGACTCCGGAACCCTAAAGCGAAAGCCCCCGAGTCGCAACTCCAAGAACTTAAGGGCTACCCCTTAGAACAAAAGATGCACAAATTCACAAATGAATATGTGTACGTACATACATACTTGCGGCTCCACAGACAATTGTGGCCTTTTCTTTGCCTTCCCGGCTCTCTCCAGGTCCTCATGGTCGAGCCTACCGGCTTCTGCTCCAATGACGAGACAATGCAGGACCCTCGTAAGCATAAGGTTTTATACGGTTTATTATTATATATATATAGGAGTGCCATGCTTCGAGGTGCCTTTAGCTAGGATTCTAGTAGTTTTTTTTTTGGTAGGGCCTCTCATATTCGCGATCGCCCTTGTCGTTTTCGAAGGGCATCCATGACGGTAGTACATGATGACATAGTGTTAGGACTCTATCAGGCGAGGTCTGGACACTATCTACGAAAATGACGCTAATTACCCATAGGCCCCTAAGTAGTTCCTTTTTGGGATTACCTTATAGGATTCTAAATATGGACCACAGAAAGGAATTACTTAGGGGCCTATGGGTAGTCGTGTTCATGATCAACGGCCATGGTTTTTACATGTTTTATTGGCAGCGTCATCGCATCAACAAGCCCTGGCCAAAAAACACCAGGATCCACAGAGAGAGAAAGAGAGAGAGAGAGAGAGAGAGCCCTAATTAGTAACAACCCAGGGTTTCTTAATCAGGTTCCTATATTAGCCCCAAAGCCCCCAACCATGATTGAAACTTTAATGCCCAACAGAACCAAGATTCAATCCCCGACAGAGCCCTCGACCCCAGCAACTTGCTTGGGATAAAGTCCAAGTCAGCTGGTTGGCCATAGCACCCGAAGTTACTGCAATCGGCCTGGTCTCTGCTCCATGTGTGGTTGTTCAGCCCAAGACTTAAAGCAAACAGCCATGGGTTAGGCTTTTGGGGCCTTGCGGGCTTCGCGTTTGCTGCTTTCCGGCTTTCGCGCCTGAGACTTGGCAGACTTGCAGCAAGTTCGCAGGACAACAAGTTTATGAAAAGCCTGGATGCGCCGACGACCGTGGAAGAGCTGAGGCTTCTCACACTGGATTCTCTTATGGGCTCCGGGGAGGTCGGGCCGTGCGCTCACCCTACGGGTCCATGTTCCAACATAGTATATTTTATTTGGCCTTAAAGTAGTCCCTATGCCCGCTATTTAGGTACTTGATGATGCTTGGGGGCGAAAGTATAGACTATCTGGGTACATGGACCTTTGGGTGGGCAGTATGTAGGGTTGCATGCTCACTTCCATACTATACCCTGATGCTTTCCAGGGAGCTATAAGCCAAAGAAAGTACGCTACGCCATCGCATCCCGTGGTAAGCCAACCGAAAAGCGACGTAGCTTGGAGAAAGCTTACCGAACGTTCCTACGAGCTGGACCACATGCCCTACAGCCCCGCTGTAGCATAGCGAGAATGCCAGTATTCCCATAGGCCCCTAAGTAGTTCCTATTTGTGGTGCATATTTAGAATCCTATAAGGTAATCCCAAAAAGGAACTACTTAGGGGTTTATGGGTATTAGTGACAGTTGGACCTAGTCTTGGGAGGTTCAAGCGTAGAAAGCAGCAGGGATATAGTTGCCTTCATTAGGCGCGTTAGGGTTGTCACTGCCGTGCACTTGCAATCTTACTTGAAACTTGAAGCTTTTAACCCCATGTATGACAACTCATGTAAACTCATGTAATTTTGCAGAGATGGAATATTGTTTTACATACGCTGATCCCAAACATGTTTGTAAAGAAAAAGAGCTCTTACTACCCCTCCTATCATAAGAACAGAGGCCTGGTACATGCAATAATTGATTTTGCACATCGTCTTGCACTGAAGTAACGAAGGCCTCAGGGGCTTTGGGGGACAGCTTGCCTACACATGGCAGTCAGTGAAGCCAAACGTCCCATAGCATGGTGGTGAGAGCACTTAGAGCATGGTCACTTCATCACGATAGTTGCCACGACATACTCCATCCATAAGCATAGCCGTCATGATCAGCATCGTCACCTCCTCCTCATCATCATCCTCATCGTCATCGTTCTCTCCGAGCATGTGGCGGCAGTCGCAGTGATACTGGAATACCTGCGA